TGTTTTTTTTGTTGTTGTTGTTTGTTTGTTTGTTGTTTTTTCCATGTTTCCCAATTTTTGGAATGACTCTTGGCCTATACACATGGCATTCACTGACTTTGTCTCAAAGCCTTTTATGCCTTCCAATTTTCTCATGAGTGTCTTTATGTACTACAGCAACCACCCTGTTTTATACGTTTTGCTCTAGTTTCTTCTTGGGCTAAGTAACAGAAGAATTTACCACTCCCTGGCTGTAAAAGAAGACTAATTTACTTGAAGATAGATTTACTTAGGTGTTGATAATAGCAGAGGGAAAATAATGTTATACCATCTCTTGGAGATGTGAAGTTACAAAGTGACTGCATTTGTGATCACTGAGAAAAGTTCTAAGAGTTGAAATCCTTAGGAGGTATTCTAGAGACAGCTTAGCTTGGAGACTTGACTGTGGTAACTTGGAAAAGCAGAGAAAGAAAATGAGCTAAGTTTACTTGCTTGGATGGAAGTTTGTTTATCCAGAACATATGAAGTCTGAGCCAGCAATTACAGTGATTTTTTTTCACCACCCCTTTTGTGTGTCTTTGCATTTAAACAGGGAAGATATTAAAATGGGCCAGTTTGTTCATGTAATATGTGCAGGGCACAGATTTCTCTTGAGAAACAGATGCTTAAAGTTTCTGATTATATGAAAACAAAGCTGATTGCACTTCAAATTATTTATGAAAATGCATTGAACCTAGCTTCTAAATGCTAATATTTATGCTTTTTAAGTGTGTGGCCCAAAAAAGTGAATGCATTTCCATGGGCCTCATAAAATTAGTTAAGTCCTATATGGGAAGCTTCTGGGCAGCCCATGGATGATGCTAGCACAACCAGTTGGCAATCCTGCTCCATGTCCTGCTTCCCACGCCCTCCTTCCTCATCTCTACTTTAGTGCCTCTTAGTTTAGTAAAAAGGGAGGAGTTGGAAGAGTTACTGTTGGACAGGTATTCCTTGAGTTCCCCCGAAACTCTCTTCCCTCTCTCGGTCTTCAAAGATGGAGCTGACAGTAAAGGGAATAAAATTATCTCCTCCTGATATTGGACCCAAAGAGGTAGTATTCAGACCTGTTTCCTGAGTGTCAGTAAGATTATTTTTGGTTCTAAGGTTGGAAAGCCCAATTCTCACTGGGCTAGACAATATACTTCTTTTTGGCTGTTATAGTTTCACAATCCGTAAGTAGGATGCTTTCAGAGTGGCTTCATTGGTCCAGTACCGTAAACCAGAGCCCAATCTCTTTCCCTATGTTTCTTCTATACTACTGACTCCATTATCGGACTGAAAATGGAAGGAGCCTCCCTTCCCCCATCAGAAGGCTGGTTAATTGCATCTGCTGAAAGAAACTGAAGATAGACAGGTTAACAGGAGGGAAAAAAAAAAGACATTTTCATTACATGCATGAATATGAGACCCAAGGGAAGAGATGAATGGTTGAAGTTTTTATAGCAGAAAAAATAGAGGCCTGAGACTTTTGTGGGGAGATGGAGACAGGTTATGGAAGGGGTAGGGGGTGAAGTGCATGGTGAACAAAGGTAATCTAATTAGGCAGATACAGTCTCTCAGATTGTCTGGGAGCAGCCCCCAGGAGCAGCCAACAGAAGAGGTGGTAGCCTATCTGGGGATGAGGACAACTTTTCATCTCCTCTCTGGTGATTAATCTTCCCTGGTTGTTTGATGAGATTCCTAGGGAGAGGGTTCAAGATAATTGCCTTTCCTTTGAAGGAACTTCCCTCCTTCAGATTCCAGAACTTCAGAGAGAGCCCCTCCCTGTGCTTGGGAAAGAAACAAGGGAAGGTCAGAAAGACCTTGATTTTGAGGCAACTTCTAAGGGCTTCCAGTTTCCTTTCATTCAAAGGCCTCAGCATGCCATAGTATGCCATACTTTGGGGTATCATTTTCTGAACCCCAATGCTACTCAACAGGGAAGGGACACCTGCTACTCTTTCTTATCTATTTTTTAAAATAAGCTCAGTTGCATCTTCATCCTCAAGTGTGAGAGCCCATCTGTCTACAATGTCCATAGTGTTGGGGCAACAGGTACTATCTATGCAATCAGCAATCTGTACTGTTGGGTATTTAAGATGTTTGCATGAAGTTTTCAGAATGTATTCTGGTAGTTTTGTGCCTGACAGTTTTTGTTTTGATGCTCTCTGTGGGAAAGAGCTCAGCAACTTAGTTTTCTTGGTCATCTGGCTGTGGTCATTTCTTCCTGGAGCAGAAGTGACACCCTGAAGGTGAAATTTTCTGGAGCCTCGTCCATGAATAAATTTGTCCATGGTGGGATTAGAGGCATAAGCTACATGGATTCATTCTACTCTAGAATATCTACTTGTTGCCTTTAGACAGGGTGCTACCACGAGTCAAAGAGGGTGATTCACCAATTCTTTCCTTTCTTCCCTGCCCATTAGTCAACCCACTTATTACTATTTGAGCTCAAACAACGTTTGCTTCCAAACCTGTAAGCCAACCAAGAGTTGCTCTGTTTCCTGCCTGGCAGTACTGGACCGAAGCAAAAGCAAAATACAGATTCTCATTATCCAATTATTTACACCAATTCCCTCACTAAGCAAGTGATAAATGCCAGGTTACATTCCTACTATGATAAAGGCAAATGTGGCAGTGGTGCTGATTTTGTGATCCTCAAAAGGAGATATATATGTCAGTGGCTAATGATGTTACATGCTTGGTTTTCAAGTGGAGAAGAGAGCAGAAGGTCTTGCCTGCTGTTTATGTAAGCCTAGCATCCCCTAGCAGAAGGGTTTGAACTAGCTAATCCTGGATTTGGATGGTCATCTTCTATGTTCTCCAATAAGAAAAAGTGACAGAGACAGGACATTGGTGTGTGTTTATCCAACCTGGAGTGCAAGGAGAGCCCTGGGGGACAGCAGCAGCCCCATCTATAGTTGGTACCAAGTGCTAGACACTGTGATGATAATTTAGGGAAGAACAGTAGGGCTCTGACTTAATGCAGAGCTAGTTACAGGACATAAAGGTTGCTGGGCCTGGACAGAGGCCATGCTTTCTCATATTTTACAACTGAAGAATAAATAATTTATAAATAATTCATAAATAAATAAGTAAATCACTCAGTCTCTCTACAGGAGCTGGCAAATTTGAATTTGGATCTCATATCTTGTTGCATTGATTGGTGCTCATTATGAATGCTTGGATTCCTTTCTCAATTGACTTAATCCTTTTGAAATTTTCTTCACCAAATGTTCCCCCCCCCCTTTTTTTTTTTTTTTTGCTGTATACACTCTCTGTATCTACACTAATATATTTAGTCACTTTTGTGATTCTATTTCTTTAAGGTGAGTTTGTGCATCTCTGTACTCACGTGAACTCTCAGAACGCAGTCTTCTTTCTTAGGGTTTTTTTTTTTTCAAGATTTATTTAATTTTATTGTAAAGGCAGATATATAGAGAGGAGGAGAGATAGAGAAGCAGATCTTCTGTCCGATAGTTCATTCTCCCAGCGGCCACAATGGCTGGAGCTGAGCCAATCCAAAGGCAGGAGCCAGGAGCTTTTTCCATGTCTCCCACGTGGGTGCAGGATCCCAAGGTTTTGGACCATCCTTGACTGCCTTCCCAGGACACAAGCAAGGAGCTGGATGGGAAGCGGGGCTGCCAGAATTAGAACCGGCACCCATATGGGATCTTGGCGCATTCAAGTTGAGGATGTAGCTGCTAGGCTATCATGCCAGGCCCATAGATCTTTTGGGGGAGGGTGGAAAGGCTTATTATTTCTGACTTTCCCATTTATTCAAGGTCACCACCATTTTCCTTTGTGGTTTCCAGTGCATCACTTCCTCCTGGGTCCTCTTGAAATCTTTTGCAACAGCTTAATCTTCGTGAGTGCCCTGTTAGATACTTGTTCCAACCCCTCGCCATGTTGGAGAGGACTGGGCAATTTCCCAAGGGAAATATCTACTACAATGAGAATCTGTAGGTAGAAGAGATGCCGAGGTCCCCACTGCCCCTGGCAGGGGTTTCCCCTTTCTTGTGCATGGTCTAGTATTCTTTCTCCTGTACTCTGTGTGCCTCAGAGGGCTCCTGTCTTGAATGCCTGCTGCTGCTGCCCTCATTTGACCTACCTGGCAGTAAGTGTGCTTCTGTGAAAACCACCTCTCAGAAAGCTCACCCTGGGTGACTGCTTGTCTCTGCTTGAGACATTAGGAAAAGGGGTATCAGAATACACCATCCCAAAATGTTTCAGTTGGGCATAAATCTTCTTTGGATCTAAAGGCAATTGAGAGCCTGCAGACTCAAGAAAATTTTTCCTTTTCTAGAGGAAATTTCCATTTCTAAAGGTGTCTCCACATTAGGATGAGACCAACTCCCTGGCCATGCTTATCATCTGAAAAAGCCTTACCTGCATAACAAGCCTGCTGTTACTTATTATACACTCTCTCTTGCCCCTTTCCGTAATTTGTTTTTTTCCCCTAGTATTGCCAAATCCCTTTTTCTGTTGTTTACTTTAGAATGGTATATAAGCTCAACCAAATGGGTGCCTCCTTGACTTATTTCTTTGTGAAATTCCTGTGACTGCTTTCTTAATTATAAAAACTGTTTATTCTGTTGCTAATCTATAATCAGTTTGATGCTTGGGCACCAGTCATTGAAACAGTCCAGTTAAGAAATGCAAAAACAGCCTGCATGGACATTTTTCAAAGGTTGAAATTAAAATGGCCAACAGACATATGAAAAAAAAAAAAAAGCTCAGGTTCACGAGTCATCAGAGAAAGGCATATAAAATCTATAATAAGGTTTCACCTCACCCCAGTTAGAGTGGCTTTCATACAGAAATCAGAAAACAACAAATGCTGGTGAGGATACTGGGAAAAAAGTACCTTAATCCACTATTGGAGGGAATGTAAACTAATACAACAGTGATGGAAGATAATATGCCCAGATATTTGAAAATGTGTCTGCCGTACGATCCAGTTATCCCATTCTTGGGAATTCATCAGCATGAAATGAAATCAGTATGTGAGAGTTATCTGTACTTCCATATCTATAGCAGCTCAATGCACAATAGCTAAGCTATAGTATCAACTGATGTGTCTGTTAACTAATGACTAGATACAGAAAACAAATAAAACAACCTTGAATACTACACAGCCATAAAAGATTAGAATGAATCTTGTCTCTTCCAACTAAAGGGATGCAATTGGAAACCACTCTGCGTAGTGAGATAAGCCAGTCCCAAAAAGATAAGCATCATATGGTTTCCCTAATCTGTTATAACTAGTATACAGAGTATGAAAAATGTAATTTATATGAGTGAGATTGATATTGTGGGATTTTTAAAAATTATTTACAGCTTTTGTTTATACTCCTGAAGAATGATAAGGATTAAAAAAAATTCTGCTTGCTATGTATTAATATCTTTAACACATTAAAGATATTTCTTCTGTGATTGTATTACTTCTGTGATTGTGAAGTTATAAAAATTAGGAAAAAATTTAAAATGAAGGGTAAGTGTAAGTGGGCAAGTGGACATGAGGCAGGACAGGATGGGAAGTATCACTATGCTCTATTGCAATATATGTAAAAATTTTTCAATCTATATAATTTTTTTTCTACTTTTTAAAAAACATATTTATTATGACATAATTCCATAGGCTCTGGAGTTTCCCTCCTCAAATGCCCTCCCCCTTCTGTCTGATGTCCCCTGTATTATTATAATAGTATAATCCATCATAAATAGTTATAAGTCCATCATTCTGCTGTTTAAATGTATCCTGACATTGTAGGTATGGACAGAGACAGGGAATTCAGCATTCTATCGTTAAGATATATTTAATAGTTTCATTGGGAGTCCATCTTTGATTTGGAAATAAAAATGCATACTACATTATATTTTCACATTTGGATGTGATAGTTTCTATTACACAGTTCTTAAATGAAAAGTCCTATAACAAAACCAACAAAGGATAAACAATAGAAAATGTACAACACCATGAAGTAAAATAACATGATATTACTGAATGACAAATGCGCTGCTACAGAAATGAAAAAGAAAATAATCAAACAACTTTTTGAAGAAAATGGTGCTACTGTATGATCTCTGTGTCACCAAAGAAATTAATAAGAAAAAAATGGAAGAAATGACAATTTAAAAATATCAAAACCCACGAGTAGTAAAAATCATACTGAAAGGGACATTTATAACATTAGGTACTTACAAAAAAATCAAAATATCTCAAATGATCTAATAATGCATCTCAAAGATTTATCACAAAAGAAAAAATGGGGCCCGGCGCGGTGGCGCAAGTGGTTAAAGGTCCTCGCCTTGCACGCCCGGGATCCCATATGGGCACCGGTTCTAATCCCGGCAGCCCCACTTCCCTTCCAGCTCCCTGCCTGTGGCCTGGGAAAGCAGTCGAGGACGGCCCAAAGCTTTGGGACCCTGCACCTGTGTGGGAGACCCGGAAGAGGCTCCTGGCTTCGGATCGGCATAGTATCGACCCGTTGCGCTCACTTGGGAAGTGAATCATCGGACGGAAGATCTTCCTCTCTGTCTCTCTCTCTCTGTACATCCGCCTTTCCAATAAAAAAATAATAAAAATAAATCTTTAAAAAAAAAAAAAAAGAAAAAATGAATGGGAAAAAAATGATTAAAAAAATCACAGCAAAAATAAATGAAATTTGCTCTAAAAAACTACTCTGCCACAAGAAAAAAAAAGTTGTTTTTTTTTAAAGATGAACAAAGCAAACTTTTAGACAGCCTAGTGAAGAAAAGAAGAAAAACCAAGTAAAATCAGAAATGAAAATGCAAACATCCTACTAAACTAGTAAGGTGATCTCTTCTTATAGAATGAATTCTTTGATCACCATGTGGTGTCCTTCTTCATCTCTTTTAATATTTTTCATGTCAAAGTCTATAGTATCTGATATAAGAATGGCTACACCAGCTTTTTTTTCCCCTTTCCATTAGCCTGGAATATCTTTTTCCATTCTTTCACTTTCAGTCTCCGCATATCTTTGTTAGTGAGATTTGCCTCCTATAAAAAATGAATAGATGGGCTTTATTTTTTTTTATCTGTGACACCTGATTGATGAGTTTAAACCATTTACATTCGGAATTAATATGGATAGGTAGCAATTTGGTCCTGTCATTGGCTTGCAGTTAGTCTTCTTAAGGTCATTTTCCTGGCATGTTCTCTGTGTTTGCCTTGGTTTTGGTTGGTGCTATTCCTTTTCTCTGTCAATAGAATATGTTTAAGTATCATTTTTAAGGCAGGCCTGAAAGAGATGAATTCTTTGAGCTTTTTTTTGCTGTGGAAGAATTTTATTTCATTTTTAAAGACAAAGGAAAGCTTTGCTGGGTAAGTTATTCTGGCCTGACATTTTTTTTTTTTTTTCCTTTTAGGATCTGGAGTACACCACTCCATTCTTTTTTGGCCTGTAGAGTTTCCTCTGAGAAGTCAGCAGTGAGTCTGACTGGGGTTCCTCTATATGTCAACTGATTTTTTCATGTGCAAATTTGAGGATCTTTTTGCTGCGTTAATCTGAAGAGAGATTGATTATCATGTGTCGTGGTAAAAATTGCTTTTGGTAAACACTATTTTGAGTTCTTTGCCCCTCCTGTGTTTTATTTCCTGATTCTATCTCCAAATTAGGGAATTTTTTTTTATTCTTATTTCATTGAATTCCTTTTTTTTTTTTTTTTTTTTTTTTTTTTTTATTGTTGCTTACATTATATTATGTAGTACAGTTTTATAGGCGCTGGGGATCCCCCCACCCCTCCCATACCCCTCCCCCCATGGTGGATTCCTCCACCTTGTTGCATAACCATAGTTCAAGTTCAGTTGAGATTCATTGCTTGCAAACACCTGCCTAGCATAAAGTTCAGCGTCTTATTGTCCAGATAAGTTCAGTGGCCTCTTGGGGAGACCTTCTATGGTCTGAAGATAGGTCTAACAGAGTAAAGATCCAGTCAGTTAAAAGCCCCAACAAGGCCTCAGTATCATTATACAACATTATGGAATTAATTGACATAGTATTGGGTAAACAATATGTTAAAAATAATGCAAGTTCCATTCTTCGAAACATCTGGGTTGAGACAGTATCAATGACAGGTTCAAAAAATAACAAACCACCAAACAAAAAATTACAGGTTAAATCAAGGCAAACATGTGGTATCTAATCTTTTGGGATTCGCTCATTTCCCTTAGCATTATAGTTTCCAGTTGTGCCCATTTAGCCACAAAGAACTGCATTTTGTTTTTTTTAATAGCTGAGTAGTATTCCATGGAGTAGATGAACCAAAGCTTTCTTATCCAATCTTCTGCTGATGGGCATTTCGGTTGCTTCCATGTTTTCGCAATTACTGATTGTGCTGCAATGAACATAGGGATGCATGTTGGTTTGTCGTAAAACAGGTGTTTTGGATATATTCCTAGGAGTGCTATTGCTGGGTCATATGGTATGCTGATTTTGAGTTGTTTGAGTGTTCTCCAGACTGATTTCCATAAAGGCTGTACCAATTTGCAGCTCCACCAGCAGTGGAGTAGGGTTCCCTTTTCCCCGCATCCTCGCCAGCAAGCGTCGTTGGTGTTCTTGTTTATGTGGGCCAATCTTACTGGTGTTAGGTGGTACCTCATCGATGTTTTAATTTGGATTTCCCTTATTGCTAGGGAGCTGGAACATTTTTTCATATGTTTGTTTGCCATTTGGACTTGTTCCTTTGTGAAATGTTTGCCCATTTCCCGTGCCCATTTCTTGAGTGGCTTGTTCGTTTTGGTTTTTTGGTTGTTTTGAAGTTCTTTGTATATCCTGGAAATTAGCCCCCTATCGCCTATATCGTGTGCAAAGATCTTCTCCCACTCTGTGGGTTGCTTTTTTACTTTGTTGATTGTTTCCCTTGCTGTACAGAAGCTTCTTAGTTTGATGAGGTCCCATTTGTTTATTCTGTTCTCAACTGCTATTGCTTTTGGTGTCCTTCTTAGAAAGTCGGTACCTACTCCTAGGTCTTGCAGGGTATTTCCTACATTTTCTTGCAAGAGTTTGAAGGTTTCTGGATGTAGGTTTAGGTCTTTTATCCATGTAGATTGGATCTTAGTGTATGGTGATAGATGTGGGTCTATCTTTTTGTTTCTACAGGCTATCAGCCAGTTGTCCCAACAACATTTACTAAAGAGTCCTTCCCACTTGCTTAAGCTGTCATTAGTCTTTTTGTCAAAGATTAATTGGCTGTATCTGTGTGGATTCCCTTTTGGTGCTTCTATTCTATTCCATTGATCTTCCTTTCTGTCTTTGTGCCAGTACCAGGCTGTTTTGATTACCACTGCTCTATAGTATGTCCAGAGGTCCGGGATTGTGATTCCCCCTGCTAATTTCTTATTTTTCAGGATGGTTCTAGCTATTCGTGGTTTTTTGTGTTTCCAGATGAACTGTTGAATCATTGTATCCAGTTCCGTGAAGAATGTTTTGGGCAATTTGATTGGAATTGCGTTGAAAATGTATATTGCTTGTGGTAGTATAGACATTTTAATGATATTGATTTTGCCTATCCAGGAGCACGGGATGTTATTCCATCTTTTGAGGTTTTGTTCAATTTCCTTTTTAAATAGTTTGTAGTTTTCTTCGAATAGGTCTCCTACACTTTTGGTTAGATTTATTCCCAAATACTTCATACTTCTCTCTGCTATTTTGAATGGTATCCTGTTGGTTAGATCTTCTTCCATCTTGGTGTTATTTGCGTACACTATGGCTGTTGATTTTCGTTCGTTAATTTTGTACCCCGCCACTCTGCCAAACTCTCGTATAAGTTCTAGCAGTTTCTGTATTGAGTCTCCTGGTTTTTCTATGTATAGGATTATGTCATCTGCATATAGTGAAAGCTTGACTTCTTCGTTTCCTATACGTATGCCTTTGATTTCTTTTTCTTGTCTTATGGCCTCTGCAAGTACCTCTAGGACTATGTTGAATAGCAGTGGTGATAGTGGGCACCCTTGTCTTGTTCCAGATCTCAGTGGGAAGGGTTCTAGCTTTTCTCCATTCAGTATGATACTGGCGTTGGGTTTTTCATAAATTGCTTTAATTATGTTGTGGATTTTCCCATCTATGCCTACTTTGGCTAGAGTTTTTAGCATGAAGAGGTGTTGGATTTTGTCGAAAGCTTTTTCTGCATCTATTGAAACTATTATGTGGTTCTTGTTTTGCAGTTTTTGGATATGGTTTATAACATTTATGGATTTCCGAATGTTGAACCATCCCTGCATTCCAGGGATGAATCCTACTTGATCCGGATGAATGATCTGTCTGATGATTTTTTGAATTCTATTGGCTAGGATTTTGTTGAGAATTTTAGCATCAATGTTCATCAGAGAAATAGGTCTGTAGTTTTCCTTCTCTGATGGTTCTCTATCCGGTTTTGGGATTAAGGTGATGTTGGCTTCATAGAATGAGTTTGGGAGGGTTGCTTCCTCCTCTATTGTTTTGAAGAGCTTGTAGAGGATTGGGGTTAGTTCTGTTCGGAATGTTTTGTAGAATTCTGTAGTGAAGCCGTCTGGGCCTGGGCTTTTTTTCGTTGGGAGATCCTTGATGACTGTTTCAATCTCTACCTCGGTTATGGGTTTATTTAATTCTGCAGTTGCCTCCGGACTGAGTTTTGGTAAATGGTGGGAGTCCAAGAACTTTTCTATTTCTTGGTGGTCCTCAAATTTGTGGGAGTACAGTTCTTTGTAGTAATTTCTAATTATTTTCTTAATGATTGCAGTGTCTGTTGTTATGTTGCCTTTTTCATCTTTAATGCTGTTGATTCTCACTTTCTCTTGTTTTTTTTTGGTCAATCGGGCCAGTGGAGTGTCTATTTTGTTTATTTTCTCAAAAAACCAACTTTTTGATTTGTTGATTTTATGTATAGTTTTTTTGATTTCTATTTGGTTTATCTCCTCCCTTGTTTTGATGATTTCTTGTTTCCTATTGTGCGTGGGACTCTTCTGCTGCTGTTTTTCCAGATCCTGGAGGTGTGAGGTTAGTTCCTGTATTTGGCGTCTTTCTTGGGCCTTGACATGCGCTCCGATTGCGATGAATCTACCTCGTAGCACTGCTTTGGCGGTGTCCCACAAGTTTTGGAATGTTGTATCAGAGTTTTCATTGGTTTCCATGAATTTTTTGATCTCATCTTTAATTTCTTCTCTGACCCATTGTTCGTTTAATAGCATATTGTTCAATTTCCAAGAGTGCCTATACTTCCTGGGGAGTTTTGAGTTGTTGATTACCAGTTTCATCCCATGGTGGTCTGAGAGGGTACATGGTATGATACTAATGTTTTGGAAGTTGTTTAGATTCGCTTTATGTCCTATCATGTGGTCGATTCTGGAGAAGGTGCCATGCACCGCTGAGAAGAATGTATAGTCTGTGGCCTTAGGATAAAAAGTTCTATATATGTCTACTAAGTCCAGTTGTTCTATTGTTTGTGTGAGCTCTGTTGTTTCTTTGTTGAGTTTTTGTTTCGTAGACCGGTCCATTGTTGTTAGAGGTGTGTTGAGATCGCCTACAAGAATTGTGCGGGTGTCTATGTCTTCCCTTAAGTCTGTAAGTAATTGCTTTACGTAAGTAGGTGCATTAAGATTCGGTGCATAAACATTAATGATGGTGATTGCTTCTTGATGGATCATTCCTTTCACCAGTATAAAATGGCCTTCCCTGTCTCTTTTGATGTTAGTTAGAATGAAATCTATCTCGTCTGAAATTAGGATAGCTACCCCAGCTTTTTTTTCTCGTCTATTGGCGTGGAATATCTTTTTCCATCCCTTCACTTTCAGTTTCTTTGCATCCTTTCTGGTTAGATGCGTTTCTTGTAGGCAACAGATGGTTGGGTCTTGTTTGATGATCCATTCTATTAATCTCTGTCGTTTGATTGGTGAATTTAGACCATTTGTGTTGAGAGTTAAAATTGA